GCACCTGGGAAACCTTATTTTCACTGCAAATATTAAATATTCACACATGTATGACACCAAGGTTTCATTGGTAACATGCCTAGGGTACTCAATAGACAATCAAATAAATTTTAATATTATCCTGCCATAAGCAATTTTTACCTTAATGTCCAAACTTTGGAAGCCAATCCACTTGTAAAAATGTGATGCTGATATAAATAAAGACCTATTACCAGTCAATGTCCAAAATGCTCTTTTGATTCCAACCTCGAAGTTCCTACTTACTACTCTTAATTGCATTTCTGATAATACATTCCAACCATCAATGCACAAATATCACCATTGCCTCCAAGTTTATTGTGACCTAACAGTCAGTAACTTGTTTATGAGCTAACTGTTCTGAAACAGAACAAGGAAAGTGTCTGTCCTCAGGTCTCTTGTACTATGCAGGTTCATCTAGGCTCCAAGTGAAGCCTTCAGAAGACACCATCTGAAAAGACTGCCAGCTGATGAATGGAGTTGGCCCTGATCTGAGCCCTTGGTTCAAGTTCAGTTGATGTCCTGTCAGGGCAAATGAGCCGAGAGGACTGGCCTTTTCACTGGGATTGGACAGAGACAAGCCTCCTGGGCTGTGACTCAGCCAACCTGTCTTCCCAGCATGCCCAGGTGTGGGCTGGTATCCCACACTCTTGGTGGCTCAGCAGCCTTTGTGAAGCTGGCCAGCATCTGCTCGCTGCCCTTTGAGGCTGGGCACTAAGAGGATTGCCTGCTTAGGCTGGGAGGCCAGCCAGGACCTTTGGGGCAGGCAGGCTGGAAGCTCTGTTTTGGGTAGAGAACTGGAGTTCTAGGAAAAGACCAATCATATGGCTAAACCAAGAGGGCTGATCAGTGGGGAGGTGGGGAGAGGGGCAGAGCATACCCCAAATGAAGCAAATAAGCAATGAGTGGTTTTATGAAGGGCATCTGTATAATTCATACATGTGCAAAAAAGTAAGATGTTAACTTAGTCATGTAGGGCTTTTTAGGGCATCCAGAGTTTTCCAAAGGAAAGGGACCCCCTCCTGACATGCATATTTTAACGTGAAGGTGAACAATGAGAAGTCCATGGGTTTACTTAACAAATACTTACCGTGCTGCTACTGGAAATATAAATAACAACAAAACATGCCCTCTCCCGTCACAGAGCCTATGGTCTAGTCAATTGTAAGAGGTTGAGAGAATAGCCCTATGTTATGCTGATGATCAAAACATTTTGAAATCAGTTTGGATTTTTCTTCTCTCATTATAGGGGAAGAGGTTAAACTTATCAATATGAGAATGGCTGACAATTCCTTAAATATTTGTCAGGCATGTTGGTCATCGGGATTTTTAATAAAAATGCTGAAAATCCAACTCTAGAACTAATTGATTACTTCATAAAAGAAATGCAAATTTTGTGATTTTTCACAGCCTAAGGAGAGAGTTAAAAATTAAAGCAAGGGCTTAAACATTAAGTAAAACTAATTCCAAGGCAGCTCTTGAATTTCCTCTGACTGAGGGAGCAAGGAGGTCGACTTAATGCCCAGTTTTGTCAAGGTTAATTTTACAGTCTGGAAAGAAAGGGGTCGTAGGTAAAAGTGGACAGGTTACTTTATATCCTTTAATTTTAGTGAGGCTCAGTTACATTTATAACATGAGGCTGGAAGGTGCTAAAAAGGAAATAATATTTGTTGAACCTTTCCACGCACAAGCACAATCTTGGCATTTCACATACATTAGCACATCTATTGCTCCTAAGCCCAGCCGGCAGAGTCAGATAGCCAAGAGAGCCAGCGGTCCTCCACTGGACAGTCAGGAGCCTCCAGACCCTGAGCAATTCCCCGCCACCTTGGGTATGTGCTCAGTCACTCAGTTATATCTGACTCTTTGTGACGCCATGGACTGTAGCTCACCAGGCTCCTCTGTCCATGGGATTCTCTAGGCAAGAGTACTGGATTAGGTTGCCACTTCTTTCTCCAGGGGATCTTCCTGACCCAGGGATCAAATGGGCATCTCTTGCATCTCCTGCATTGGCATGCAGATTCTTTACTGCAGAACTGGATGTAGAAGTCAAGTGGCATCTGCTGCTTATTATAGCGTTGCTATGAAGGTCATTGGCAATAAGGCAGTTTAGTTTTTAAATGACAAACTAAGCCATTTTCCCCTGTAAGAGTTCATCTCTGAAATATAGACTAGATGGTAATGATGCCTTGATTTGCTGGAATTATGGAGATAAGGCACTCTATGGAGTTAAAAGTATTATTCAGAGTGTTGCTGTTTGGTCGCTAAAGTTGTGTCCAACTCTTTGCAACCCCATGGACTGTAGCCTGGCAGGCTCCTCTGCCCATAGAATTTTCTTCATCTTCCATCATACATCATACAGATGCCCAAAGTTCTTGGGCATCTTCCTGTGTGCTTATCATTGACCCTCAGGAGGTTTAGTGTCTAAACTGGCTATATTCCTCCCTAGAGCCCAGAGCTGTTCTTTCCTCTGAGCAACTAACACATCTTTAGTTAATACAATGTCTCTCTTTTTCTTTCCTTCCCTCTTTCTCCTCCTTTCCTGTTAGCCTCCTTTTTTAAGATTTTTTTTTTTTGATGTGGACTATTTTTAAAGTCTTCTTTAAATTTATTACAATATTGTTTCTGTTTTTCAAGCTTTGGTTTTCAGGCTGTGCAGCATATGGGATCTCAGCTCCCTGACCAAGGATCGAACCCGTACCCCCTGCATTGGAAGGCGAAGTCTTAACCACAGGACTGCCAGGGGAAGTCCCTCCTATCAGTCTCCTTACACAAAATGTCAATCTGGAGCTTTGGTACCATAGAATAAAGGCTTATTTTATGCAACACATGGCACTTTGGATCACTTAGTATCGCCTACAGTTAGATTGAATTGGTGACGCACTTTCATGACACAATCAGGCCAGTGTGAAATGACAGCTCCACGGGCAGCCCCTCCTCCACTCAGGGGTTCAATCACCACATCTCTGTCTGCAGCCCGCCACCCTGGAATAAATCAAGGTCCATGAATAGGACAGTACGGCTGGTTCAGTCTAACGCAGGCAAGGCCTCCTTTCAATAGCCCACAACTTGTTCATCCGTTTGACATTCAGAAGACATTTAGCTGCAATCTACTGACTTTTCCTGCTGCTTCTCTATAGGGACAGAAGGGATACAATACCTTTTAAAGCCTCTGAAGTTTCTATTTTTAGTTATAAGAGCTCTGGGGATAGATACTTCTCTGCTGCAGGACACAGAAAGCTCTAGGGCCTGCTGTAATAGCTGGTCTTTTCAGTGGCAAAATGCAAGAGAATGCGGAGGGCTGGTGGGGGAAAGTTCCCAGGCTTGAAGGTAAGACAGAGTGAGTCAGCATTCGCTTTGCAGCATGGCTGGGCTGTGTGGAGGGCTGGGGCCCGCTGAGCGCCTTTCATCAAGAGGCGAGTGATGCTCATGGCTGGCGGATGTCCTCACAAAGACCCTTGGCCCCCTCCCTACCCGGTTTGGCCTGCCCTGTCTGAGCATTTGAACGTGTGCTGCCCACAGGGATGACAGCTCAGTGGCCAAGCCTCTAAAAAGCCAACACAAAGGGGCTGGCCGCGCTGATGTGTGTTTACATCCAAGGTGGTGTCCACCCCAGCCATGAAAATCCTTTATTAGTAGTAGTATTATAGAGGCTGGTCATTTTATGAAATAGCTGATGCTAGAAGAAAAAAAAAAAACGCGAGGTGTGTGGGTTAAAGACCTCACTGTGGCTCTTACCTTCTCTAAGGGAGACACAGGAAAGAGGGTGAGGAAAGAGGGAAGAAGCAAATGAGAAAAGTGCAAAGTGCAACACCAGAAACCAGAAGTGGAAAAGGAAGTGTGGCTTTGCAGACTTTTTGACCCAGCCACGGCATTCTAGATAAAATGGAATTGGAAGGAAGTTGGTCAGCTCCAAGGTCACATGGAGGGCGTGACTAATTAACCAAGCAGATTCACCCACCCCCTAAATTGACTGTAGGTTCCCAGGGGCAGCGCTGCCCAGCATGCTAGTTTGTGATGAGTTCAGGCCAGAGTATCGGTCAACGTCGCTTCCTTCAATGAATTTGGCCGTGTAAACCATGTATGCCGGAGGAAGCAGCATGCCGGGTGCCGTGGTTGATGGCACCGTGGCCCAGACTTTCTGTCCCAGCAGCTGGCAATGAGCCCACTGGCAGGCAGTCGGTATCTGCTGGCCATGCTGGGGGACCACTGCCTCAGCTGGCAGCTGGCCCAGCGCTCCCCTCCGTGGGCATGCTCGAGGCCACCGCCAGCTAGGGGCATGACCAGGACAGCTCTCCTCGCTGCCACTTGGCAAGCTGTCTACCACACAGTCCGTGATTTGGCATTTAGGAAGAGGAATTAGAAAATGTTTCCACTGGGATGAAATTCATGAGTGCGGTCACACCTATCTGTTTTTGATTTGCATGAAGACCAGAACTCAGGACCCAATCACGATTCAGAGACGGAAAACATGGTCCAACAACTATAGTCTGAAGATACAGAATCTGCCATAAATACAAAGATCGGATTTTAGTAAAAAAGGTGTTTAGTCTAACTTTACAAAAGTTTCCTACATGTGAGTGAATCACTGGTTGTACACCGGAAATGAACACATTATAAATCAACTATGCATGCATGCTCATTGCTTCAGGCGTGTCCGACTCTTTGTGACCCCATGGACTGTAGCCCACCAGGCTCCTCTGTCCATGAGATTCTCCAGGCAAGAATACTGGAGTGGGTTGCCATACCCTCCTCCAGGGGATCTTTTCAATCCAGGGATCGAACCCGCGTCTTCGACACTGCAAGTGGATTCTTTACTGCTGAGCCACCGGGGAAGCCCAGAAAATCAACCACACTCCAAAATAAAATAGAAGTTAAAACAGTGTGCATGCCTTGGCATCATAATACTTAATGTGAGTGAAGGCTCCCCCCCCCACCCCCATGGAGAAAGTGCCAGGAGGACGCGTGCTTGCTGGGTTTACCTTCCAGGTGACCCTGATGCTCTGGGAAGAGATGGGCTCCAGGTGGACTTCCTGAGGTGGGCCATCAGGAGCTGGAAAGACCAAAACCCACAGGTCAGTTAGAGATAGGTTCCAGCATGGACTGAAACCCACATAACAGGACTCAGGGCCAGAAGAAGCGCCACAGCAGCTTTCATGGGAAAATCAATTTTGCTGAATCACTGTGCACATTTACCCCGTGCTCACTCGCTTCTAGAAAAAGTGAATTTTGACACACATCTTTGTATTCTTCCTCACCTTGTCTTTGACAACTTGATGAATAAACCTTAAGTTAATACACCAGTAAAACAGAAAGTGGTGAAACATTTATTTGATCAAAGTCTATAGTGGCTACGAAGATCCCTCTGGTTCTTCTGGAGACTCTGTTTAGTGATGTGCACTGGAGCACCTCAGGAGACTCAAACTACTTGGGGAGGGGAAAAAAAGGATGCTCCTGCCTCTGATTCTCTTTGATGGCTTTAGTTCTCCACTCTTTCCAAAAGAAAACTTACTAACCTGGGGCTGTAGCCACAGAGAGCAGACTGGAGTGGAAGAGAAAAAAAAAAAAAGCACACAATTCACACCAACCTATATCCAGTGGTTATAGGGGTGCCAACAGCCTGCCACGCACAGTCGATCACTCTGCACTAGGAATCCACCCTGTATTACATACACAGTATAAAACTTAGAGGAGACAGCCATGTCCAGCAGGAGTTTGAGGTGATAACACAGCATACACTCAAGTGTCTTCAGGGAGGTGGAAGCAAAAGGGAACCCAGGGGTCAGCAGGGAGAGACCCCACCGGTGACCACATATTGCTGGGAGGACAGCTTTACAAACACTGCTGAGCTGTGAACAGGCCATTTGTGTGGAAGCAGAGATGCCAGTTTGCAGAAAAGTGAGGAGCACTGGGAGATGAGAAATCAAAAACAGGGAACAGAAACAAGATGGAAGGTTTGGAAAGAAGAGGAAGGGGAAAGAATAAGGCCATTTTAGCAGGAACGTGTTTTCCATTTAACAGAGAAAGAAGTTTTGAGTGATGCCACAACACAGCTGCTAAGTTGATGGGCACTTGAATCTTTCTGCCTGACTTCAAATTCTGGCTCCCTTGCTTAGTAACTTGGAGGTGTTTTGCAGGTGACAATTTTTCTGCACCTCAGTTTCCTTCTCCATATGATGGGATGCTAGAATGTATGTCTGGGTTATGAAAACAGTGTGCTTAGAACATATAAGCAGGAATGATGATTATTCTCACTGGGTGTTTTTATGGAGCACATTAAAGGAGAAATTCAAATTGCAAAAAGAAAAGGTATACTTGAAAGAACAAGGTCCCAGGAGATTAGCAATAGGACAGAGCAAGAGGGGAGGTGTTGGAGAGAGGGGGGCATAAGGCCAGCACCTCTGGGATGAGAGGAAGAGAACCCAGTGGGCAGGGAAGCAGGGTGAGAACACCCAGGTATACCTGCTCCTTGAAGAAAGCAGGTTCAAATCTGATTGTTTCTCTTCTCACCAAAATCATAAGGTACAAAGTCAGGGGAAGAGTGGTGGGTGCCAGGAACACAATAGAGGCTTGGACTGGTGCAGTAGCCTGTGGAAAAGGGTGTACCCAGTGCATGAGAGCACCGACCCACCAGAGCGGGTAATTTCACTGATGAGGATAATGTGCAATGTGCTGTGAGACAGCACACCCTGGCTCAATTTAGGCTTTATGAGACCACTGATGCATGCAGGAGAAATGCCACTGGGGGAGCTGGGGATAAACAGTGGCAACAGGTGGGAAGAAGTGGGTGCTGGGATTGTTACTAAGTTCCCTGGTGGTTCAGACAGTAAAGAATCTGCCTGCAATGCAAGAGACTCAGGAGTTCAATTCAACTGAATGCAGGTTCAATCACTGGGAGAAGGAAATAGCAACCCACTCCAGTAATCTTGCTTGGGAAATCCCATGGACAGAGGAACCTAGCGGACTACAATCCATGGGGTTGCAAAGAGTGGAACACAACTGAATGACTAACACTTTCTTTTTCACTTTCATTCCACAGTCGGGGATGGCGGAACTGGGGAAGGGGGAGAACGTTAACACAAGGGGGTGAAGAAAGGAAGCCAGTTTTCCAGGAAAGATGCATCATTGCATGTTAGGAATATATATGTGAAGAGAAGAGGGGCTACTGTATGGAGGTGTCTGCTCAGCAGCTGGAAACATTTATATGAAACAGGTAGAGAGTTGGGTCTGCAGGCTGCTCCCTTCCACTGGGAAGCTCCCCCAGAAACCTACTCGCTAGGTCTCTGTCCTCGCTGGGGACACAGCCTCTGTCCCTGACCACCCCCTCCAGCCCAGCAACGACGCCTGGCATGAGTTTTCAATTCTGTTCCTAAACATTAGTTCAGGTCTTCACTTTACCTCTTTAAAGGGGACGTGGCAACCTTCAGAGCTTCAGACTTTTCGTCCCTCACCCTAACTTTGCGCCGTCTGTGTCCTGCCTTCCTCTGCAGTTCCCATGTGCCGCCACCTCCCTGCACCCCACATCCCAGCCAAGTCCACCTTCGCAGGGGAAACCTAAACACAACTGCCGCCCAGGCAGGTCGGAGCCTGCCTTTTCCCTCCACCAGTCTCCTGCCTGGGTCCAGGAGCCCCCGTCTCGACTTGGGGATCTCTCACAGCAGGCTCAGGCATACGTGTGCACATCAGTCTTTCCCTTTTCTTAACAGACTCAATCAAAGCTGTGTGGTCTTAGGAACCAAGTCTAGAGTGAGTCCTTGCTTTGATCGGTGCAGCGCTGTGTGGATGCTGAAACTCAGAGCACACTCTCTCTCTCCCTAGCAGGTCACAGGGACAGTGAGTTTTCTGGGGGCCCTGCAGCCTCTCGGATTTATTGATTCTCCAGGTGCAAAGAGAGTGCTAATGCTTGAAGTTCATTTCTATACCCAGGGCGAGGGGCTTCCCATGTTGCAGTTGTAGTAAAGAAAACCAGCCCTTTCTGCAGGAATATTTCCATATCAGATGCAATGAAAGCACGTGGAACAGATTTCTCTTAAACATGGAGAAGTTCTGTGGTCAGCGATAAGCGCGTGGTGCATGCATAAAAATCCTTGAAAAAAGTATTTTGAGGTCTGACGGCTACACTAAGACTTGATTATTTTAATTTAATTGTGTGAAGTCAGATTGAACAAGGAGTCTGCTGGTTAGGAATTGGAGGCAATGCAGAGTACCTCCTATTCTGGATTCTTTGTCCTTTGATGCAGCCTTTTCAAGGGGTTGGCTGGCAATAGTCAGCTGTCACTTTCTTATTGAGATATATTCATAATCAAAAACAAAGTTACTAGGAGAGTGTTTAAAAATTCCCTTGATTCTATCAGAAAACATTATGTGTGAACTTTGGACATTTTGCTTTTTCAAGCCTGGTCTTGCATTTTAAGAAGTTCTCCTGGGAAGTGGTCTGGGGACATGGGATAATCCCTGTATCCAGGACAGACCTGACATTTTTTTTTTTTTTTGTCCCATCGCATAGCATGTGGGATCTTATTTCCCCAACCAGGGATGGAACCCACACCCCCTACTTTGAAAGCATGAAGTCTTAATCACTGGACCACCAGGGAAGTTTTCTGTGTGTGTGTATGCGCTCCGTCTCTTGCCAGGCTCCTCTGTCCATGGGATTCCCCAGGAAAGAATACTGGAGTGGGTTGCCATTTCCTCCTCCAGGGGATCTTCCTGACCCAGGGATCAAACCTGCATCTCTCTTACTTCTCCTGCATTGGCAGGCAGCTTCTTTACCACTTGCATCAACTGGGAAGCCTAAAGTCCCAGAGACCTGCCAGTTTATAAGAATACAAAGCCTCTTTGGCTTAGTCTCTCAAGATTTCTGTGGCTTGTTAGTAATTTATTTATTAGTCTGCTTAGTCTCTGCCGTGAAGGGATTCAGATCTCTCCTCTCTTAAAATACAGTCATAGGATCTATATTAAAGGCAGAGACTGGAAGAATGTCACACACAGTAGAGTTTTGCCCAATATAATTAGGAAGAGCTTTTGTTCGGGTGCTGAATTTTCTACTTTAAGTTTCTAAAACATTCTAAGACAAGCCCTTTAAAAATGATACAAAAAATGATGCTAGAGAAGAAAATGGCAACCCACTCCAGTATTCTAGCCTGGGAAAGCCCACAGACAGAGGAGCCTGGTGGCCTACAGTCCATGGGGTCACAAAAGAGTCAGACAAGACTGAGTGATTAAACAACAAATAAATCAACTATGCTTCAATAAGGTCTTCCCTGGTGGGTCAGACGGTAAAGCATCTGCCTACAATGAGGAGATCCAGGTTCAACCCCTAGGTCGGGAAGATCTCCTGGAGAAGGAAATGGCAACCCACTCCAGTATTCTTGCTTGGAAAATCCCATGGACGGAGGAACCTGGTAGGCTGCAGTCCATGGGATCGCAAAGAGTCGGACATGACTGAGCGACTTCATTTTCACTTATGCTTCAATACAATAAATTTTTTAAAAATGACATAAAAAATTAGTCTGCTTCCAGAATTTTAGCGCTTTCCTTACAATGCCTAAACTGTAATTTTTTCATGGATCCTCATCTCATTGCAAAAGGACAATTTCATAAAATTAGAATCCAAGGCAGACTGAATTCCCAATGCTGACATGATTGAAGACCAACCATTAGGTATCCACTGATTTAACTAAATTTGAAAATTGTGTGGACATTTAACATTTAAGAATTTATTTGACACTCTTGAATTGAAATTGCACTAAAACTAGAAAGCATAATTTTTTCTTTTTTTTTTTTCAAACCAGAATATTTACCTTATTCCTACACGAAGAGCAGGCTAGAGGTAAGAATTACTGATGAATGTGATTTTCCAAAATGTATAGTTGCTGCATTTTTTACAGAAACTGAAACTATTCAATTTGTAAAAGAGTAATAAATGAAGACTCTATTTATAGTTCTTAATGTTTATTCTAGGCAAGGCTATGTCCTGCCTGCATGCTTAGTCCTGTCTGACTTGTGACTTCATCAACTGTAGCCCTCCAGGCTCCTCTGTCCATGGGATTTTTCAGGCAAAAATACTAGAGTGGATTGCCAATTCCTTCTCCAAGGGATCTTCCCAACCCAGGGATTGAACCTGCGTTGCTGGCATCTCCTGCATTGCAGGAGGATTCTTTACCACTGAGCCACAGGTAAAGCCCCATGACAACTGTCAATTTCTGTGAAAAATGATAATTCTTTACCACTAGCACCACCTAGGAAGCCCACTAATTCTGTTTGGCTGAAAATACAAGGTGGGCAGGCCCTTCCTAACTGTCAAACCCACAGTGGTCCCCGGTCATCTCCAGTATGGGACATCTGTTTTTGGTCCCTCCCACAAAGGCAGGACAAGCTGTTTTGTTCATTGTTGTGTCTCAGACGCCCAGAACAGCACTTGGCACATAATATGTGCTGAATGAATAATAATTTAATGGAGTAAGCTATTTATTTGATATATAGTCACTAAATGAATTCATCCTCTCCCCATTTAGGTATCAACTGTTCTTCAATTTATTTGGTTCTTACTAAATTCTATCTTGGTCTCCTATGCCCAGCAAAGAATGTTCTGCTCACCCAGGCTACTTCTCTTTTTTGGCCATACCATGCAGCTTGAAGGATCTTAGTTCCCCTGCCAGGGATTGAACCCGTGCCCCTGGAAATGAGAGTGTCCTTTCCTAACCGCGTGACGCTGGGGAATTCCCCAGGCTACTTCTGTCAGAGATGAGCATGTTGTTGTAGACTGTGTTGTTATACCTCAGTCCGTTTTTACACCCCGGTCTCTGCCCAATTTTGGACCTGGCACATGGTAGACCCTTAGCAAATTCTCCAATGAGGAGCCAGAGATAGAAATTCAGGGGTGACTCAGCGGGCGACTCAGCCCAGCGCCACAAGCAAATAAGACCCAAGCCTCTGGATGAAGCCAGGAGACTGCTCTGTGGAGGAGAGAGCAGAGAGGAGGCACTGTACTAGAGCGTGACGTTTGACCTGCTTTTCAAGGGAGAGGACAGAAAAGGAGGCACAGAACTCGGAGGACTCCAGACATGGGCAGGAGCAGCCCACGTGAGGAGGAGGGGGCAGGAAGCGAGGCTCATCACTGCTTGGGCCACAAGGAGCCTGGTGTAGCTTCCAGGTAGTAATGGGGTAGGGGAGACCTGGGCCTACACCTACTGGCTCCTTTCCTCAGCAAGTGGGCAGTGAGAGGCATCCTTGGGTGCCCCAGACTTGGGCACTAGCATGCATGCTAAGTTGATTCAGTTGTGTCTGACTCTTTGTGGCCCTATGAATTGGAGCCCGCCAAGCTCCTCTGTCCATGGGATTCTCCAGGAAAGGATACTGGAGTGGGTTGCCATGTCCTCCTCTAGGAGACCTTCCCATCCATAGATGAAACCTGCGTCTCTTGTGTCTAACCCATGTCTCTTGTGTCTCCTGGATTGGCAGGCAGATTCTTTACCACTAGCGCCACCTTGGAAGCCCTTGGGTACTGCAGCACCATAAAAAATGAGCAGGTCTATGGCTTCTAGAAGCTTCCATCTGGGGATTCTCACTGCTTAAGTGATAACCTTATTTCTTCAGGGAAAGATGGCCATAGGGCTGGAAAAGATTCCCTCGAGATGGCTGCAGCTCCTGAAAGAGGTGCCTGTGGGGATCCTCCTGGAGGTGGCAGGGAGAAACCCCATCACCCCAAGCAGAGCTGGAGAGGGAGACTTTGGTCAGGAGAGCTGCCCTCCTTTCTACATGAGTCACACGTAAGAAAATGGCTGTCTGATTTCAGTCATACAAACCTATGCAGCAAGACAAGGCAAGCTCTGGTTTGCAGCTTTTCTTTGCTCATGCCTGACCTTCCAGCACATTCTCCCTTAGCTAGTCTGAAGAGTGAATGATGAGTTGTGGGGCTGCCTGGTGAAACCCCAACTGTCAGCCCAGGAGCCAAAGCAGAGGGAGGCGGGATGCTCTGTGTTGATCTGTCTGCAGAGATGCCTGGGAATGGGCTGCACACAGGTGACCGGTGACCAGGAGTGGCTGTTTACCTGACCTCCTGGGCAGGAGAGAGAAGTGCTGCCATGGCAACGGCCAGCTACAGGGAGATCACAGAGGAAACGGCAGAGAAAAAGCCACAGTGCTTGCATCGGTCATGGTGATGGGGAAAATGGTGCAAAATGCACCATTGGAAACCATCCCTGCCTTGAGAAGGCTGTGGAGGTGGGCAGAGTCAGAAAAGTGGCTCAAAGGAAGGAGAAGGCTCAGCCCTGACCTAAAGCTTTTGTTCTGGGGGCAGCTTATTCTCCCTAAATCCTCAGCATGATGAAATTTCAGGAAGTGAGTGTGTTGTTTACATCAATATTTAAATAAGATTCTATTTTTGCAGGAGCTTATTAACACTCATTTCCTACTTATTTCAGAAGCATGCAAAGTACTTTCAGAAATTAGGGTTTTTTCCAATTACCCAACATGTTTGTGGTGAGGAGTAGAAAGACATCATTAAGTGAATCTTGCAGATGAGAAATCACACAGAGAGAATTTCCAAGCGTTAGAAGTGGCTTGCCCTCAGACTGAAGCACAAAGCTATCCTATCTCCCACCCTTGAAAATGATTTTTCAAGAACTGATGTATCCAGAGTTGAAAAATGGATATGTAGGTGCAGTTCAGGAAAAACAATAAATGTGAACCTATTTCCTTGAGGACAATGTTGACTATGCATAACAAAGGAGTTAGATTTTGGCATTTGCTTTCATCCAGCAATCCTACTTCTTTGGAATTTAACATAAAACATATTGTTGGAAGTGGCAAAAGATATATCACAGGATATATCAAATGATGCTCATCACAGTAGAGTTTATGATAATGAAAACTTGAAGAGAAATGCAAATCAAAACTACAATGAGATGTCACTTCATACCAGTCAGAATGGTCTCAAAATGTCTACAAATAATAAATGTTGGAGAGGGTGTGGAGTAAAGAGAACCCTCCTACACTGTGGGTGGGAATGTAAGTTGATGCAGACACTATGGAAAGCAGTAGGGCTGTCTCTTACAAAACTAGACAATAGAGTTGCCATGTGATCCAGAATCCTCACTCCTGGAAATATGGAAAAGATTAAAACTCTAATTTGAAAAGATACATGCACCCCAATGTCCACAGCAGCACTGTTTACAATAGCCAAGACATGGAAGCAACCTAAATGTCCATCAACAGAGGAATGGATAAAGAAGATGTGGTACATGTACAAATGGAATATTACTCAGCCATGAAAAAGAGCAAACTAATGCCCATTTATAGCAACATGGATGGACCTAGAGATTATGATACCAAGTGAAGTAAGTCAGACAAAAATAGGTATTGCTTATATGTGGAATCTAAAAATGATACAGATAAATTTATTTACCAAACAGAAACAGGCTGAACCTTCACCAGTGGCTTACTGCTAGCAATTCAGGAGACACTGTTTTGATCCCTGGGTTAGGAAGATCCCCTAGAGAAGGAAATGGCAACCCAGTCCAGTATTCTTGCCTGGAAAACCCCATAGACAGAGGAGGCTGGCAGGCTATAGTCCATGGGGTCTCAAAGAGTCGCAGAGTACTTAGCGACTAAACAACAACAACAACTAAAGAGAGAAGAAAGGAACAGAGTCACGAACAACTGCAGTTGAAAGATTCAGTGACCTCTTGAGGAAGCTTTACCATTTGGAGATGATCCCCTTAATCTTGGAGACAGAGAATGAAGGTCTGAGACCAAGCTTCCACCTTCCCTGCAGCAGTTGGGGGTAGCTGATCAGTTTTGAGTGCAGGCAGGAAAAGAAAATCTAGGTTTGGGGCTGGATACTCTTTTGCCACCCCCCCTCCAAAGATGAGCCAGGCTGTGGTTCTATCTCTTTCCTTCTGCAGAGAAACCCTAGGGCAGCTCGCTTGCTCCTCTTCTGTAGGAGGCAGGTGGCAGGTGGAGTCCAGTCCCCAATTGCTTAGTTCTCTGCAAACAGGTTATTGCCACCCCAGGTGACCATGAGCAAACTTCTGTACTGAAGGCTGTGTGTCTGTGTGTGTCCATGTCTGTGTGGGTGAGCGTGCATGCATGCATGTGTGATGAATAATTTAGTGTGTGATATCCATGTATCCATCAGTAACTCTAGGTGGTAGGATTGTGTGCACTGTTTTGTCTTCAAAATGCCTATCTCAATCTTCGACATTTTCAACATAACATGAAACACTTTGTCATAGGAAAAAATAGCAATACCATTGATGATGGAAATATTGTTGTTTCCAGTCAATAAAATTATCTGTACCACCTTCCCCCTAGTCCCCAAACAGAGAATATTCTAGCTGTTTTCTAGTTAAGTGATCCTTCTTCCCCTGACTGCACTGGGACTTGGGCAAGACAGGCTCCTGGCTCTCCTGTCAACCAGGATTCCACGCATCCAGACAAAAGGGCTGTAAGAACAGCGTGGTTCTTTAAATCTCACCAGATCATTAGCCTTATATGTCTTTCTTTTAAGTCCTGGGTGTGAGAACCTTGACCTGAGTCCTGTTTGAAGAACAGTGCCTTCAAAGTAGGCAGAGAGTGCTGTCTGTGTTTTTGATGGGCGTGGAGCTACAGAGAGTGTTCATCACGGCTGTGACTTTGCATTAACCATCTGAGCCCCGCCAGCCCGCTCCCAGAGGCCCCCTGCCCATCAGACGTACCTGCCTCGTCCGCGGTGATGGACAGCTCGTTGCTAGGCTCACTCTTGCCAATCCGGTTCTTGGCGTACATGCGGATGCTGTAGGTGGAGGAAGGGTGGATGTCAATGATGGTGGCCGAGTTCAGCTGAGGGGAAACGTCTTTGGTTCTCTGAGCAGAATCCCAGGAGTCTTTTGGGTTTTGTTTTTCAAAAAAGAAGAGATAGAGACATGAGTTTTTTCCCTCTGCCTTTGAAAGTTCACAAGTAGGAATTTTTAAAAAAAGAAAGAAGGAAAGAAAAAAAGTTACAACTCAAACTGAATTCTCAATGCAACGCTGCCAGTATTCTGGCGGGCTAGCCATCATAGGGAATGCAAAACTAAACATTCAACACCCACATTGTGGGGTACAATGCTGTGGGCAGCTGGTTTCAGGGAGTTTTGTCTGAGGCAACACAACAGACTCCCTGGGAGAAATCAGAGAGGGAAACGGAAGCAGGGGAAGCTTATGCCAATAAAGTGAAAGACAGCTACTTCCAAGCACTCATGGTACAAGATGATTAAAAAAAAAAAAAAAAATATATATATATATGGTTTGAGCAGCCCTCCACCAAAAAGAAAAAAATACCTAGTTCTTAAAGGTATTTGAAAACCAGCAAAGCCTTTAGCTGTGTCAGACTCCTTGTTCTCCAAAAGGAGGGTGGTAAAAATGAAATACATAAAAACTAATCTGTCTCCCCCATGGGTCATTAAGTATACTTCTAAGTTCTAAGTTTTGAAATAATTTTTGTCTCCAATCCTTTACTGTAGGAATTAGTTTCAACCACAGATAATTTTAAAGACAGGGCATGCCTTCTACAAAGAGTTGTCATTGAATCCATGATGGTGTGTACCTGCTGGCTCTTGGGCTTCAACCAATGAACGAGCACATCAGTGAATGGTTCTTATTTCAGAAAGAGTTTGAATAGGTGCTGACTGGGATTGCAAGGGGTCAAGAGATGATAGTGGTTGTAGAAATACCAAGATCCCCCTGAGATGGTGGCAGTGAAAATGCATGCATGCTCTCACGCCCCCCTGCCCATCCCAGGATCCTCTTGCACTAGCTCTGCCGAGCTCATCAGACTTATAAGAATTTCACCTAGAATCTGAGTTTCCTGCTGGTTTCTAAGCCCCATGAGGGCATGGACCATGCTGGCCATGTTTAATGCTGTAGGCCCAGTGCTCACACATAGCCTGGCAGATAATAAATGCGTATTTCCTAGATGCATAAATACATGGCAAATAGACCTCTGCATCCTGGGAATGACCCCACGCCCTTTTCCACATCAATGATGGACATGGAAGTTCCAAGGGCTGCTCTGACCAAAGATCACTGCAAGTGCAAGAGATTTCCTGGACTTGTAGGAGGAATATGTGGCTTCAAGTCTTCCTCTGAGGACTCTTACAGGGAAAGGAATGCATAGAAACTAGCTACTGGTATTTCCTGAAAGCAACAGTACCTTCTGAGTCCGAATGACTGAAGGGAGAAGGGCATGACAGAAAAAGAGAAGACACACTATTGATATGTATAAAATAGATAACTAATGAGAACCTACTGTATAGCACAGGGAACTCTACTCAATGCTCTATGGTGACCTAAATGGAAAGAAAATACAATGACAAACCTAGACAGTGTGTTAAAAAGCAATCACTTTGCCAACAAAGGTCCACACAGTCAAGGCTTGTGTGAGAGCTGGACTGTAAGGAAGGCAGAACACTGAAGAATTGATACTTTCGAACTGTGGTGCTGGAGAAGACTCTTGAGAGTCCCTTGGACAGCAAGGAGATCAAACCAGTCAATATTAAAGGAAATCAACCCTCAGTACTCTTTGGAAGAACTGATGCTGAAGCTGAAGCTGCAATACTCTGGCCACCTGATAAGAAGAGCTGGTTCATTGGAAAAGACCCTGAAGATGGGAAAGATTGAAGGCAGAAGAAGAGGGTGACTGAGGATAAGATGGTTGGATGGCACTACCGAGTCAATGGACATGAACTTGAGTAAACTCTGGGAGAATATGAGGAATAGAGAAGCCTGGTGTGCTGCAGTCCATGGGGTTGTGAAGAGTCAGACATGGCTTGGCGACTGAACAACAATATGTACACATATAGCTGATTCACTTTGCTGTATAGCAGAAGCTAACACAATATAGTAAAGCAACTATACTCCAATAAAAAGTAATTTAAAAAGAGAAGATGCTGCAAAATAACAAATGATAGAAGAACAGAAGTATGGGATTCAATAGAGGACAAGTGATGGGAAGGAAGATCATGCCAACAGAATGATGTGTGAGTATTTTTATCCCACAAAAAGAAAGTCAGGCCTTCTGGAGAAGATAATTAGGATGACAGGGAGGAACTCCAGGCACTGCATCATGCAGAGGCAGTTGCTAACCAGCCCCAGGAGAAAGCTGACACCTGTAGGGTTTGATGGTTATTCCCAGGCCGTTATGGAGCCTTCTGGAACTGACATGGCCATGGAAACGTGCCATACTCCCTGAGGTGTGTCTAGGAGATGGCTGAGAGCTTGCAGGGATGTAGTGACTGCCCGTTTCCTTCTTCTGCCAAGGAAGTCATGTGAATAACCCCTGGGGAGTCACCAAGATGGGGGTCTCAGACAGGAAGTGCATGGTCCTTGGAGAAGGGGTGGTATTTTTAGCTTCTTTCTTGCAATGATTAGACTTTGAAAGAAAAAGGTGATGTCAGTGATCACAACTCTTAGACTATGGTTCAAAACACTACAGGGTGGGCTTTTCAGCTAAAGATCAAGAGGATGAGAAAGAGAAAGACGTGTGTTACCCGAAAGGATTTTAAAGTAACTGAATGAAGAAGAGGAAAGTCTAGTGAAATTCCCCAAAACACTCTAGCAAGTGATATGACTCACAAACAGGGTGTGGCTACCCAGGAGAGGAGCTGAGAAAGGGGCCAAAAATGCCACTTCTGATCTCAGATGCCGAAGTGCACATGGACTGGTCATGGGTTATAAACAAAGTGTGCTTAAGAATACCACACTGAGCATTAAAAACAGACCCCAGGGAAATTCTGACACTTGAGGATGGAACTGCAAATTGAAATACAAATAAAACTAGCAAGAACACATGATAGACAAAATAAAGATACTTCTTAGGAGGAATATGTCACGAGCAGAAAGGCACGCCTAGAGATGGAGTTGGAGGATGCAAGTATGGATGGCAGATTTGGGGTAAGGACATGAGCAGGAAGAGCAGGGTGAAGAATGAAATGCTTGTGAGGACTGATTACAGGTGTTGCCCAATGGAGGAAGGGGAGGGTGGTTTCTAGACTCCCAAGTACATGTAGCATTGAGGAGATTGTGTAAGTCATACAAAGATGGTTCGTAAGGTGTTTGTTTACTGAGAAGTGGGCTTGGCTAAAGGGACCTGTAGGAAATGCTGAGATTCCCAGCACAAGTAAGAGTGGGGAGTTGCTGCCTCTGGGGTCCAAGGGGGTCAAAGGGGAGGAACCGTATTTCTGGGGTGTAGACAGGACTGAAACTTCAGAATAGGGCCCCTGATGGAAGCTGTACACAGAGAACAGTCCCTGTGGGAACTTTCTGCACTGTTCTCTGGGTCTGCCATTGCACAGGAGAAGGAGAAGGGGGTGGCAGAGGATGAGATAGTTATATAGCATCACCAACCCAATGGACATGAGTCTGAGCAAACTCTGGGAGATGGTGAAGGACAGGGAAGCCTGCCATGCTGCAGTCCTTGGGGTCACAAAGAGTCAGACACAACTTAGCAACAACAACCCAACAACCCTGAAGTCAGAGGGAAGTGGAGTCTGCGTGGTGTGGACCACGGGGCTCAGCCTCGGAGAGAAGAGCAGACACTTGATTTGGGTAGAAGTCAAGGTGGTGGGTGAAGAAAAGCCAGAAGCAAGGTGAACTCAGGTTTGGGAGCAGCGTCTGCTCACTGGGTGCCCTGCTAGGCATTTTACAAGGGTGACTTCTGCAGTCCCCATATTTGTGGGCACATTGGAAACAACTCAAAGCTTTCTGACAACTGCACTTTCACATCCATGCAGTCAGAATCTCTGGGGGTGGTACTTTTAAAAAAATTTGTGCTTTAAAAAATGCCTCTCTCTCTCTCTCTGGGAGGTTGCAGCATGTGAGAGCCACAAGGGCACCTCTGAGATTCATGGTGCTATTCCTACCAGGGAGAAAAACAAGCCTCAGAGAGGGTAGGCAACCTGGTCTGGTTAACAGAGCTAATAAGTGGTGAAACTGGGTAATGAACCATCTGACATTAAAACTGGCATCCATGTAGAACCTCATGTGGTTAGAACCACATGAGGCTCCATCCATGACTTAGCATCAGGCATTTAATTGTTTAAACAGTTAGTAATTGCTTCTTGGCATGAAAGCTATAACAAACCTAGACAGTGTGTTGAAAAGCAAAGATATCACCTTGCCAACAAAGGTCTGTGTAGTCAAGGCTATGGTCTTTCCAGTGGTCATGTACAGTTGTGAAAACTGGATGGTAAAGAAGGCAGAGGGCCACGGAATTGATGCCTTCAAACTGTGGTGCTGGAGGAGACTCTTGAGAGTCCCTTGAACTACAAGGAAATCCAACCAGTCAATCTTAAAGGAAATCAACCTTGGATACTCATTGGAAGGACTGATGCTGAAGCTGAAGCTCCAATATTTTGGTTACACGATGTGAACAGCCAACTCATTGGAAAAGACCCTGATGCTGGAAAAAATTGAGGGCAGAAGTAGAAGAGGGCATCAGAGTATGAACTGGCTGGATGGCATCACTGAGGCAATGAACATGAACTTGGGCAAACTCCAGGAGATGGTGAGGGAAGGAGGCCTGGCGTGCGGCAGCCCATGGGATCAGGAAGAGCTGGACACCAGTGAGTGACTGACCAACAGCTCTCTGGGTCATTTTGCTGCACAGCTAGCATCTGGACAGATTGCATTTTCGATTGGATTCTGACAACATCCTCATGAAGTGGGGATTTTTATTTTCATTGTGAAGGTCAAGAAGCTCAGACCCTGTCGTTGAGGTGTTGAGAAGTGAGGCTGGGATTTGACCCCACTGTGTTATCCCCAAGTTCTAGGCCAGCTTCCTGCAGCATGGGACCTTCAGAAGGTCTCTGTTGGATATCTGATGAGACTTGATTTTAATTTTCTAGGAATCTGATGGAAGTCTCACGTGCTTAGAGGAAGACTTCTGATGAGCTTCTGACTTGGCTTCCTGATGAGGAGGAGCAGTGCAGAGAGCTTGGCTAGGTGCAGGGGGGGAGAGGGGTGGAACTTTGCTAAGAGTTGTTGTAAGTTCTCTGGTTTGTAGGAGCAAAAGGTGAGAGAGCTGTGCAGGGACAGATTTGTCCCTTGGTTTAGAAAAAATAGCGAGAAGCATCTGTTGAGAAAGGAGGCAGGATTCTATGACATGATCCAGAGAGATCAGGGGTAAAGAGGACGCAGACATTCAGAGTCGAGTCTCTGCCTCTAAAAGTCCAATTACCACCCAAGTGAAGACTAGGGGGAGCCCCCAGGAGCAGTGTGGTTGAACTGGATGCTTGTTGATGAGTCCAGCTTGAAGGGGATATGAGCTGAGTCAGGAGGACAGCAGATCATCAAGGACAAATGTTAGGCAGTGAATTTCATTTGGAGAAGAGCTGTGAGAGTGAGGGTGATCCAAAGTCTGAGAGGCAAAATTATGCAAAAGGTAGAAAATGAAGACGAGGCTCGGAGGACGAGACCTATGGTGTTGGGTGAGAGAAGGGAGGATCAGCGCCTGATGAAGCCACTTCTGCTCTGTCTTCTCCTTGGACGAGGACCCTTGTGTGAAAGGAGGGGGACTAAGGCACTAACCCGGGAAGTGACTTGTGAGGCCTCGGGGAGAAGGCGCCCAAGAGGGGATGTGGGAACATGGCAGGCTGCCCTACAAGAAGCAAGTAGACACAGTAGGCTGCAGGCTGATGGGCTGGCCTTGCACATGGGGCAAGATGCTGGAAGGGGATGGAAGGGGGATCTTGGTGTCCACCTGGAGGAGAAGCAGTGGCCACTCGGAACCCAGTATGTGGCAGCCATGGAAACCAGCAGGATGCAGGCTACATGAAGAAAGTCAAAGGTTCCAAACGAGGGAGGTGATGGCTCCTTTGTGCCTGGGCCCAGTCAGATGACCCCAGGGGTGCTGCCACGGGGCCTGAGCGGCGCTGAAGGGCCAGGTGATGGTCCGAGGAGGGACACGCAAAGGTACTTGGGATATTTTATTTTTCTTGGCAAATGGAAAAACTAAGGCGTGTCATCTGTTTTCAAACCATGCAAGGGAGGTCATTTGATCAAAGAGTTTAGGGGTGGGAATTCAATCCACAGCAACGTCATAAAAATGTCAGAAGCTCTCATTAATAAACTTAATGGAATGCCATCAACAATAACAAAAACATGTGTTTATGGAACTAAATGAGTTGATCCTGAAATTATATATGGGAAGCTAAGAAAACACTGGAAGGGAAAAGTTGCAAGGGTAGGCTAGCCTTACCAAATATTAAGACATAAAGCCTCTATGATTAAAGCAGTCTGGTACTGCTGCATTAGTATATAGGTAAACCAATGGAATAGAAAAGTCCAGAAATAGACTCAATTACATATGGAAGGGGGGCAGCAGAAGATGAGGTGGTTGGATGGCATCAACGACTCAATGGACTTGAGTTTGAACAAACTCTGAGAAGATACTGAAGGACAGGGTAGACTGGCATGCTGCAGTCCATCAGTCACAAAGAGGTGGACACAACTGTGTGACTGAACAACAACATATGAAAACTTAGTATGTGATAAAGGCAGCATCTGAAATCACTGGACCAAGGTGGATTTTTAATAAATGATGTTCGGGCAACAGAAGACCCATTTTTGGAAAAGATAAAATCAGATCCATTTCTCCCAGTGTACACAAGAGTAGACTCCAAATGGACTGGAGATCTCAATTTAGAAAAGGGAGGGAAAGAAAAAAAAAACAATAGGAAAAAACAGGCTCATTTATTTTATAACCAGAGTGCAGAGAACGATTTTTCTAACTTCAGTCAAAACCGAGATGCAATAAAAGAAAATATTGATAAATTAAAAAAGACACACAGACACACAGTTAAATATGAGTTCACACATCTGCCAGGCAAGGAGAGGAGAGAGACTGCAGGAGCACATAAAAGGGAGGCATGGGCTTAAGTGTGGACCTAGGATGCATCCCTGTGGAGGTCAAATGAGGTGTGGGGTCTAAGCAGCAGGTGGGAGTAACCATAGTAACTGTGTGGTCCAGGGATGGGAGGGCAGCCTTTGAGGGACCCTTGTCACAGGTAATGCTGTGGTTGCCCATTTCACAGAGGAGGACGGTGGCGGGGGTGGTTACAGCTGGTTAGAGATATGGCCAGACACACGCTGAACCCAGACTCGCTTGAGGAATCACTGGATCATCATGAGCACCTGGAAATGACCGATCCCCTGAAGACAGGGAGGCAGGTAGCTGCTCCCCGGACTGGCTTTGTGGGCACCAGCTCCCAGACCTGCAGTCCTTCTATTAGTGCCGACCTGCGAGGCTGGTGGGGGGGGGGAGGGTCTGTCCCTCTCTCTGTAGACTCTGCAGAGCATCCCTACTGTGTGTGTCTGTGCTGCTGCCGAGTTTTCATTCTTGCCCCCAGTTTCCAGGTTGTTCTCTGCAAGAACATGCCCGCCTCACCTAAGAAACTTCAAGACCCAGATCTCAGAACTTCTCCATCTTTGATTCCTTCTTGACCTTATTTCTTTAGAATGAGGGCAGGGCCTCCTCTCTGCCCTTGGCGTTGGGCAAGCCCGTTGGTCCTGATTTCTGAAAGATCCCTGCTGGGGTCAGCACTGCCCTCAGCTTGCTCACTGGCCGCCCTCTACCTCCACCCTCTGCATGGGATCTGTTATGTTTCCAGGGGACAGTGTGACCACGGCCACCATGCTCCTCTCGGGAGGCTTCCTCAGGGTCCATGGAAGCAGCACCTACCCTACTGTGTGTGTCTGTGCTGCTGCCGAGTTTTCATTCTTGCTCCCAGTTTCCAGGTTGTTCTCTGCAAGAACATGCCCGCCTCACCTAAGAAACTTCAAGACCCAGATCTCAGAACTTCTCCATCTTTGGTTCCATCCTGACCTTATTTCTTTAGAACGAAGGCAGGGCCTCCTCTCTGCCCTTGGCCCTGGGCAAGTCTATTGGTACTGATTTCTGAAAGATCCCTGCTGGGGTCAGCTGCCTTCAGCTTGCTCACTGGCCGCCCTCTACCTCCATCTCCTGCATGGGATCTGTTATGTTTCCAGGGGACAGTGTGACCACGGCCACCATGCTCCTCTCGGGAGGCTTCCTCAGGGTCCATGGAAGCAGCACCTCACTTCCAGGTCTCTGGCTGTGGCTCAGGGAACCAAGCTGGTCACCATACCTCTTCTGACATCTTTTCTTATGCGTCTCTAACCCAGGACTTCTAGCCATCCTCAAGCACTATTGCTATGACCTCTATTCTTGGTTGGATGCAAGCTGTTTTCATCCGCAGTTAATTCCTTTCCTTAACCCCACCATTAGCCTTTTTCTGGACTCACTTCCTCATCCAGTCTCGCACTTTCACCTACCCTGCCCCTTGCCTGCTCCTACAGAAACATTTCTGCCCACCTGATCTGCCTTTCCAAATGCCACCAGCTTAATTTTTTGCTCACGAGATAAATGTGTCATGACAGTGTGCTGTGAAATGATGCACGGCACCCAGAAAGTGAGAAACGAGGCCACTTTCCTGGACTGTGAGACTATCAAACCCTCGTGAGCTGATGCTGCTCTAATTCCTCCTGTCTTTGTGTCCAAATCCAGACCTGGAGCCACAGTGGTGGTACCCTGCCCTCGGCCTGATGGGTCCTAATGTTCAAAGTGGCCCTGTCATTGTCACTTTAAGATGATCAACCGGCATGCCTGATGTGGTCCTGACAGTGGGTCTGTTTTATTTCTGGGCTCCTGGTGGGCCGGCTACTTGCCCAGTGGAAGCACAGGAGTGCTTGGCTGCATCTGTACCACCAGCCTGTCCCGCACATCTCAGGAGGTCCCTGCGGGGTCAGTGCTGTCTCAGCAACACGTGGCCCTCTGCACAAACCACCACGGCTCAGCTCAGCCCACGGACACTGAATGTAGCCAGTGATCAGGGATGTGGACACGAGGGAAGCAGAGGGAAGATGGGAAGGTGGGAAAAATAATGCTGGTGGCCGGGTTGGGTTGGCAGCAGCCTGTGAACCCTTTGGTGGTGACAGGGCCAAAGTGACCCTTGGGGAGGGAGCAGGATTGAGGTCCTGCTTGTTCAAGGAGAAAAGGGGCAGGGCTGACCCAACAAAGAGACCTCAACACAAAATCAATCCCACCAAAGGAAATGGGGGTGGGTGTCCTTCACGCAAGGAAAGAGACAGACTGGCAAAAAGAGCTCCCTCTGAGTTTCCAGGAGTCCAGGTTGTGCTTACATTGAAAGGCAAGCAATAAAAGAGCTTTTGGAAGTGGAATTACAGCTGGAGGAAATGAAGGACTTACCTGATTTATTTTTGCATTCAATGTCATAGCCCGTGATGGGGCTGTTCCCGTCAAAGCCCATGGTCCACCTGAGGGTGATGGTGCGCGCCTTCACGTCTTTGATCTCAATTTCAGGAGGGTCTGGGGGCTCTGTGTGGTCAACCGAAAACCTGGGTTAGTTTGAACATCGTTCAGCCATAAGATGCTAGTGAAAATCCCGAGTGACTCACAAAAGCTTTGTCAGCGTTCAACATGGCAGACTTTTTTTTTTTAAACCTGGAAGTATTTTTTTCCTAATCACATTTTAGGATGGAACAATTTCACTTTTCCAAATTTGCCAATTTTCATAGCACTTATAAAGCTGGACCAGACCTGAGGATTTACATGTCACTCTTCTGGTCTGGCTTGGGATTTATTAATTTGGAAACTATTTTGGCCCCAAATATGAAACTTTCATTCAGATCATCTAGTTTAGCCACTCAATCGTGTCTGACTCTTTGCAACCCCATGGACTGTAGCCCGCCAGGCTCCTCTGTCCATTGGATTTCCAGGCAAGAACACTGGAGTGAGTTGCCATTTCCCTCCGCCAGGGGCAGAACATCTAGTAAGGATTCCTAAATTTGAACAAAAAAGGCACACTGTCTGGGCCACCCAGTCAGCTGACCCAGCTCCTTTATGGACTTTGCTCCCTCTGTTTTGGGGCTGCACCTTGGTATAATCATGAGATCTGCAAAATGAAGCTTTAGCACCAACTTTGTTCAGATGCAACACCTTCTGAGGACTTGGAAGTGTGACGTGTCAAGCTGAGGCCACCCGGGCATCCGAGCCTGGGCACACACTTACACGGGCGAGTTTCTCCCCCTAGGTTCTGTCCATCTTACCTTGCACCGTGAGCTGAATTATTCCACGGTCCTCCCCATAAGAATTGATAGCGTGACAGGAGAAGAAGCCAGAATCTTCTCTTACCGTTGGCAAAATCTATGTGTAAAGCAGAGAGAAATCCATTTTACCCAGAGGAATGCAGAGAGAGAACAACTCAAAGGGCTCTTGGTTATAAAAATCTCTCCACTCTCTCTCCTCCCAGCCCCAAACACACACATAAACACACACACACACACAAGGACACACAAAACTGAGAACAAATTATTTCAGCACAATTGTAAATGTGCAGATGGATAGATTCATGTCAGCTGCCAGCTCATTAAATTGGATGTGAAATTTATGTAGGATGTCAGGTTCAGGTTGACATATATTCCACATACTCCCACTTTTTAAAAAAAAGCTCATAGTGGATTCTTTTTTTAAGTCGAGAGAAATGTTTTTATTAAATGCCTTCTTTACATTATTGATACATGTATGTTTGTCTCTAAAAGACAATGATGAGCCTCAGCCATCAATTTCCAAAATATTCACAAGTCAGTAGAGCCCAACCTGATGGAAGTTTCTCTACATCACTTGCAGAGTGTCCATCAGACCATCATGTACTATGTTTATAAATATTTAAACAGTGTCACTGGGAGGAGTTTTGGTTAAATCTCATAGTGGATTTTTAAAATAGAGCAATCCTGCCTATAGATTGCTATAAACAGATCTATAAACATTGCAATAAAGGTTTAGTCTCCTAGGATTCCAGGATTGGACCTAAGAGTGAATCAATATCCACGTTTCAAACACAGGGCTTTTTTTTTTTTTAATTTTTTCTCATGTGCGTCTTACAGCATCATTTTTCCCCCATCTTAAAAGAATCACTCAGCTAACTACCAGCAGTGCTAAAAATTCTGAGACTGCAATACTTTTTTACTCTGAGTTTTCCCCCAAGAAGCAAAATATTTTCCTTGTAATATTTTTGTGGCAGAGTCCTTCTGACTTTTTCCTCAGGAAGTTAAAAAAATGTGCACAGTACAGGCTGTCATTTCTCCAAAATTACCTGTCATTAAAAGATGCTGTTTCTCCAGATATAGAGAATAGACTTATGGACAAGGGGAGGGGGAGGAGAGGGTGAGATGTATGGAAAGAGTAACATGGAAACTTACATTACCATGTGTAAAATAGATAGCCAATGGGAATTTGCTGTATGGCTCAGGAAACTCACACAGGGGCTCTGTATCACTCTAGAGGGGTGGGATGGGGAGGGAGAGGGGAGGGAAGTTCAAAAGGGAGGGGATATATATATACACCTATGACTGACTCATGTTGAGGTTTGACAGAAAACAACAAAATTTTGTAAAGTAATTACCCTTTAATAAAAAGAAACCATGCCATTTCTCTCTTATTATTACAGTTTGTTTCCCTGTCATGTTGGCAATAATTTTACTCTTAACCACATGTAGGATAAAGCACTATTTTTGCAGGCTACTCTGGAATCCCTTTATATAAAAGTAGAGAGATAGTTTTTCATATATGTTTCTTTTCTTAAAGATTTTTTTTTGACATGGACCATTTTAAAGCCTTTATTGAATTTGTTTTCTGTTTTGTTCTTCTTATTAAAAAGTTGTTTGGTTTCCTGGCTGCGAGGCATGTGGGATCTTAGATTTCCGATCCAACCAGGGATTGAACCAGCACCCCCTGCATTGCATGGCGAAGGCTAAGTCACTGAATCACCAAGGAAGTCCCGTTGTAACTGTTTCGAAAGGTGATTTGTGGCTTTCTCCCACATGCACTCACTTAAGTGAAAGGACAGGACTATTCTGCCTGTGAAGGTAGGTGTTCATCTGCCCTGTTTGCCACGCTCTTACCTGCAGAGTAGAAATCACCTCCTCCCCCACCTCCTTGGTGGACACGAGATAACGGGCCATTTCAGGGTTAATGATCCGGTCCTCTTTCTCCCAGCGGACTATGATGGGCTTCTCACCGTGGGCCGTGCAGCTCATTTCCTTCTTTTGACCCTGAGTGGCCAGGGTGGTGTTTGGGTAGGATGTAATCATCGCAGGAACTGAAAATCCAAAAATGACACTGCTTATTCGGCAAAGCAGGGTTCACGGTTTCCCCACCATNGCTTCTCACCGTGGGCCGTGCAGCTCATTTCCTTCTTTTGACCCTGAGTGGCCAGGGTGGTGTTTGGGTAGGATGTAATCATCGCAGGAACTGAAAATCCAAAAATGACACTGCTTATTCGGCAAAGCAGGGTTCACGGCTTCCCCACCATAACACATGGCTCAATTGCATTTGAGATGTTTCTTTGAAATGTATTGGCTGAGCAAGAATCATGGTCAAAAGAGTTGGAAGGGTGGCAGAAAAATGAAGCTGGACTCAATGAGCCCCAAGCAGAAACTGCTGTGTGGTTTCCTACTGTGTGTGGGGGAGGTGGGGTGGGTGGTGGGCGGGACGTACTCTCTTTCAATCCCTGTGGAAAGTAAATTTATGTCCCCTAAAAAACACAGGAAACTGATGTGACTTACTTATTAGACAGGAAAAGGGGTTTCCATTGAGAATTACACTCCTCCTTCCATAATCACCTACATTTCCAACTATCCTTGTCAACTATGGGAATTTCTGAAACCTTGTTAGTCAACTGATTGGCTAACCAATCCTTGAAGTCACCTCTTGGCATCCCTAACCCACAGTTCTGGAGACCTAAAAACCAGACTTCTCCCAAAGTTTATAGCAGGGAATCTCCTCTCAATGTATTGAGAGAATGGGAAACTTTATTTGTGAAACTTGTCAAGTTCCCTCCCTCCAACATGTATATTATCTAGGGTGAAACAGATCACCAGCCCAGGTTGGATGCATGAGACAAGTGCTTGGACCTGGTGCACTGGGATGACCCAGAGGGATCGGGCAGAGAGGGAGGCGGGAGGAGGGATCGGGATGGGGAATACATGTAAATCCATGGCTGATTCTTGTCAATGTATGACAAAAACAACTACAATATTGTAAAGTAATTAGCCTCCAACTAATAAAAAAATAAAAAAAAACTACCACCATTAAAAAAAAAAAAGTGAAAGAGGAGAGTGAAAAAGCTGCCTTAAAACCCAACATTCTAAAAACTAAGATCATGGCATCTGATCCCATCACTTCATGGTAAATAGATGAGGAATCAATGGAAACAGTGACAGACTTCACTTTCTTGGGCTCCAAAATCACTGCAGATGGTGACTGCAGCCATGAAATTAAGACGCTCCTTGGAAAAAAATGACTGAACTAGTGTGTTGGGGAAGACTCCTGAGAGTCCCTTGGACAGCAAGGAGATTAAACCAGTCAACCTTAAAGGAACTCAACCCAGAATATTCATTGGAAGGATCGATTCTGAAGCTGAAGCTCCAATACTTTGGCTACCTAGTTGGAAGACTCGTTGGAAAAGCCTTCAACTATGGGAATACTGAAGGCAAAATGAGAAGGGGGAAGTAGAGGATGAGATGTTGATAGCATCACTGACTCAAAGGACGTGAGTTTGTGCAAACTCCGGGAGACAGTGAAGACAGGGAATCCTAGCGTGCTGCAGTCCATGGGGTGGCAGAGTCAGACAGACTTAGTCACTGAACAATTAGTGTGGAAATGGGCCTGAGGAATCCAGCAAAAGCAAACACCAACACACTCTAGAAGGAGGTACCCTGCATCCAGGCCCATTGGGATTCTCCCAGAAGAAGCTCTGCTAACATCAGCTCACAAAACAAAAATAGTAAAACACGTGAGAAAACAGTCTACCCTCATGGAGAATCAGGCCCCCAAGGGCTTCAGATGCTAGAATTATGAGATACAGGCCTTGAAATAATAATGCACAAAATGTTTAAAGATATTTTCAAAACATGAGAAAGGAACCAGAAGATATGAAAAACAAACAGGAAGATTTGAAAAAGAACTAAAACAAATTTATATTTTTTATCTACTTTTTACCTAGTTTTCCCAGTCAGGGGAGTAAGGGCTCTCCCCCATTTGTAAGGTCAAGCTCATGCTGTGTTCTTTGTCACCCACCTCCGGGCCCTCCAGCACCTCTCACTGGACACGTGACCACAGAAACGCTGTGCCTTCTCCTGAGACTGGTGCATGCCAGGGCACGTCCTCCCTGCTGCCAGCTAGAGTGGTTTGAGATAGGCAGCAAGCCAGAGATCTACCAGTTTCTTCGTAGCCTGGACCCCACGGAAGACCCCACGCTGTGACATTTCTCTATGTCAGAAGGCATATGGCAGAGATACCACAATGTGGAGTGGACAGACTGGGAATGGGGCAAAAGAAGCACCATGAGGCCCACATTGTAAAGAAAGCTGCCCACAGCCATGGTGAGATTCCTCCTCCTGAGCATCTGAGAAGGAGCAGAACTGCTCCACCACCCCCAAACTTTGGTCCTGATCCCTCCTTCCCTCTCACCTTTTTAAGATGATTTTTAATTTTATTAACCAATATACTGAGGTACAATAACCATACCACAAAATTCACTTGCTTCAAGTATATAATTCAGTGGATTTTAGTATTGTCTTCCCTTTCTAGGGTCATCATCGTGCGTGCTCCGTTGTGTCTGACCTCTTTGTTACTCCATGTACTGTAGCCCACCAGGCTCCTCTGTCCACGGGATTGTCAAGACAAGAGTACTGGAGTGGGTTGCCATTTCCTTGCCCAGGAAATCCTCCTGTCCCAGGGATCCAACTCACGTCTCTTGCATCTCCAGCACTGCAGGCAGATTCTTTACCCAGTGCTTACTACAGGCTGGGTGGTTTATAACAGAAATGCACTTTTTCACAGTTATGGAGGCTAATTCACAATTACGGTGATGTCAGAACCACACTACTTGGAATAAAAACTATGACAAACCTAGACAGCATATTAAAATGTAGAGACATCACTTTGTTGACAAAGGTCTGTAATAGTCAAAGTTATGTTTTTCCAGTAGTCATGTATGGATGTGAGAGTTGGACCATAAAGCAGGCTAAGCACCAAAGAATTGATGCTTTCAAATTGTGGTGTTGGAGAAAACTCTTGCGAGTCCCTTGGACAGCAAAGAGATCAAACCAGACAATCCAGAGGAAACTGGCCATGAATATTCATTGGAAGGACTGATGCCAAAGCTGAAGCTCCAATACTTTGGCCACCTGATACAAAGAGCTGACTCACTGGAAGAGACTCTGATGCTGGGAAAGATTGAGGGCAGGAGGAGAAGGGGGTGACAGAGGAGGAGATGGTTGGATGCCATCATCACCTCAATGGACATGAGTTTGAGCAAACTCCGGGAGATTGTAAAAGACAGGGAAGCCTGATGTGCTACAGTCTACGGTGTCACAAAGGGCCAGACACCACTTAGGGACTGAACAAACAACATGCACTCAACATCTCTTCATAAGCATCTCTGACGGTCTTCTTTCAAAAGCTATACAAGGAAGGTGGTGCTGTCATACCGAGGGAGCTTGGGGGGCAGCTGTTGACACTGCCAGCAGGTGACTGCTTTTGGAAGGATGTCCTCAGCAGTGGGTTCCAGCTCCTTGGGATGAACTCAAGCATGCTCACTAATGTGGGTCAGGCCATTGTTTCTGGTGAAAAACGCTTTTCCCTGAGAATGGTGAACTCCATATTCAGATATGTTGTAAAACTACTTATAAATCTGAAACACTTGACTTTTTCATTAAAAAAAAAATATGTTCTAAGGGGGCAAATTATGTAAGAGTCTTGATGCTTTCTTCTGCTTCTATAATCGCTTCAACTTTTAATGATAGGAACTGTGTTTCTATAGTAAGATTCACTGGAAAAAACTGAGAGCCAAAAATGTGGAAGAAAATTAGAAAGCTAGTAATAATTAAAGCATCCAAGAACAGGTGAGCTTCTGTAATGTCTAGCCCACAACGGACAACTCATTGCCGAGGAAGACATTTAGGTGACAAAACATTCATTTTCATTTGGATGTATATTTACATTTAGGTATATTATGAGATTCTTTTAAAAATTTTGTTTCTGTTTTTTATTGAATGAAAGATTCTTTAAATTCTATAGCACTTTACAATTTTCAAAAGTTTCACACACATGATTCCATATGATCCCATAATAACTCTTACTATAACTCTACCCCTGTCTTGCCCCTCCCCCTTTCCTCTCCCCACTAGTTTGTTCTCTGTATCTGTGAGTCTGTTTCTCTTCTGTTTTGATCACTAGTTTGTTGCATTTTTAGATTCCACATATAACTGATATCGAGTATTTGTCTTTCTCTGTTTGACTTATTTCACTTAGCATAATGCTTTCCAAGTCCATCCATATTGCTGCAAATGGCAAATTTTCATTATTTTTCTGGCCGAGTAGGATTCCATTATATATATATATATATATATATGGGCATTATATATATATGAGTCCTGGGTGGGCTTGTCCGGGATCTCAGGCAGACAGTGGGTTAATGTGGAACGGACTTACAGGGGCACTGTGGGACTTAGAAGTTAATGAGTCAGCTCGTATCCACGTCTGTAGAGGTTACACATTAGGGTTTGGTTTACTGTTTTATTGGCTGCCTGGATTCAAAAAAGAAGTAGAGAAAACATTGATAGAGAGGACTAGGTGTCTGAGGCCATTGCATCCTAAATGTCCAGCGTCCTAAATAATGAGAAATGATTCTTCTATTAATAGTATGAAAAGTGAAAATGTTAGTCGCTCAGTCATGTCGAGCTCTTTGTAACCCCACAGACTGTAGACCCACAAGTCTCCTCTGTCCTTGGAATTCTCTAACCAAGAATACTGGAATGGGTTGCCATTCCCTTCTCCAGAGAATCTTTCTGACCCAGGGATCGAACCTGGGTCTCCTGCATTGCAGGCGGATTCTTTCCTGTCTGAGGCATCAGGGAAGCCCACAGACAATTTAACAATTGGAGTGTGGCCCCCTGGTCCCCCCTGTAGAGAGCCAGTTCCTACAGCCCCCTTTGTTGAGCACAGAGTAGAGAGACTCCAGTGGCAGAGCTGTGTTCTGGAAATTAATCCACAGTAATGCCTCCCAGTGTGGTGGGCTGCTAAAGGCCACACAGA